AGTTTACTTTCCTAAGTAGCGAGAAGGTAGACAATGGGAATGGAGATAAGATAAAAGCCAGAAGAATAAATAGTGGGTATCAGACAGATGGGGTCAGAGACATGGAACATATTTTGGGGGAGGGAAACAAAAACAAAGAAGTATTATAACACAAACCCAAGGCCCCATCCTCATTTTTTCTGTTGTATGATAAAAAGGGAATGTGTGTGGGAAGGGCTTTGGTGGTATCAGGGACATAATTTGTGCCTTTTGGACCCCAATGGGTTGTCTTAAGTGAATGCTGGGTTTCAGTGGTTTACTAAGTTGCTACTGCTGCCCTGTCTGCCCACGGCAACCACAGGAAAGCTCATGGACACAGTGGGGTTCAGCACTAACAACCTCAGTAAGAGCACAATCTTAGGAGTCAGAGATTTGTGATAGTTACTGAGAAAAAATTAAATGCGTTAAACTACTGCAAATTATTTTTCAAGAGAGTACAGTAATGCCTTTCATAATGATGTTTCAGTCCAACAGGAACTACATGTATTGTGGTGGCCCCATAAATTTATAAGGGAGCCAAAAAAATCCTATGGCCTAGTGACATCCATCGGAGCTGTCTTAATATTGCAGCACAACTCATTGCTCACAAGTCTGTGGTGACACTGGTGTAAACAAACCTATTGCACTGCCAGCCATATAAAAGTATAGCACATACAATTATGTATGGTACATAATACTTGCTAATGACAATAAACTCGAAAATAATAAATGTTCTTGGTTTGTGCATTTACTATACTTTTTTATTGTTATTTTAGAGTATATACCTTCTACTTATTAAAAAAAAAACTGTTAACCGTAAACCAGCCTCAGGCAGGTCCTTCAGGAGGTATTCCAGAAAAAGGCACTGTTATCATAGGAGACGACAGTTCCATGTGTGTTACTGCCCCTGAAGACCTTCCAGAGGGACAAGATTTCGAGGTGGAAGACAGTGATAATGATGATCCTGACCTTGTACAGGCCTAGGCTACTGTGTTTGTGTCTTAACTTTTAACAAAAAAGTTTAAAAAGTAAAAAAAATTAT